TGCAGTCCCACCAGCAGTGTGAAAGTGTTCCCTTCTCTCCACATCCACGCCAGCCTCTGCAGCTTTGGGACTTGGTGCCGTGGGCCATTCTTGCTGGGGCTAGGTGATACCTCAGGGTGGTTTTGATTTGCATTTCTCTAGTAATTTGGGATGATGAGCATATTTTCATATCTTTGTTGGCCATTCGTCTGTCCTCTTCAAAGAAAGTTCTGTTCATATCTCTTGTCCAGTGATAGATGGAATTTTTACTTTTTTGTTGATTAATTTGAGTTCTCTGTAGATTCTAGTTATCAACCCTTTGTCAGATTTTTAAAATGCAAATACTTTTTCCCATTCTGAAGGCTGTCTATTTGCTTTAATTATTGTGTCCTTAGCTGTGCTAGTCATGAGCTTTTTATGTGATGAAAGAAAGCACAGCTGATGAGACCACAAGAACACATTTCATTTCTTTTCTTTTCCTGCTTTCGTTCTTTTTTTTTTTTTTCTTTGAGACACAGTTTCACTCTGTCACCCTTGGTAGAGTGCTGTGGCATCACAGCAACCTCCAACCCCTGGGCTTAAGTGATTCTCTTGCCTCAGCCTCCCAAGTAGCAGGCGCCCACCACAATGCCCAGCTATTTTTTGTTTGTCCCTGCTGTTTTAGCTGGCCAGGGCCGGGTTCAAACCCACCACCCTTGGCACATGGGACTGGCACCCTACCCGCTGAGCCACAGGTGCCACCCTGCATTTTCTTTTTTATACTACATCTGATTAGTGCTCTGATTGACAGGGCAAAATGCTTTCAGGAGATCATTCAGGTATTCAGTTCTGTTACTAGTTGAAGAGATACTGGGAACTTTCTAATAGTCATGCTGTTCCCATATACTCACGACTTGGTGATATTTAAATTATCACACACGTGAAGTTTGAGGCACTTCAAGAGGCTTTGGGCCACTGACGGAATAATGTAAAATTAAAGTTTTAAATGATCCCTGGAGCTTACTATTAGCAGGCATCTACAAGAAAGCTAGGCAATTAGAGTAAATCATTATTTCCTCTGAATTAATTTATTTTGTCAATTTCACATATAAAAAACAGACAAATCAATTTAAGTTGCATCTTACTCCCAATTTAGCTCCATTAAGTTATTAATAACACTTTACACTTAATCAGGGAACAAAAGATACCAGCATAAACGAAAAGGAGAGTTGTCATCATCCCTAATAGTTTATACAAGAAACCATAATGTTATTCTACACATTCAAAAATGTAGACAGAATAAAACTCAGCCTTCTTCATTAAGTCATTATACAAACCTCTGAATCTACTTGGTCCGTTTGGGAGTCCACCTTGCCTAAGCATAGCATATTAAATAAGAGTAATAAAACGTAAAAGTGTATATATTTGTTAGTTCTCATTAACGTGTATAATTTTGATGTTTATTAAAGAAGCCCTTAAACATGACAGTACATTCAGATTCTTACCCCTTTTTCTTCATAGTTCTTAAAGTCTATAAAGAGAGAGAGTCTAAATTATCTCTTACATTATAAACAATAATTCTAAAATGCACTGAATAGGCTAAATTTCTGGGCAGGCTGTGATCCATCTCATTTGTTATTAGGGATGAGAAAAGAAGGAAGGGCTAAAACTGACAAAAAGTGGTAAAGAAAATGGAGAAAGAATTGAAAAAAAACTTTCAGAGCCAGCATAAGCAATCCCATGAGGACCCGTCTGGTGTGGAATGCTTCTAGCCTGTCTTTGCAGAAAATTACAGGGGTCTCCGGCTATGCACATTCGATCTTTCTCTCTGCATCTTTTTCTTCTCACCCAGTTGGAGTTAGCGTGAGCCTGTGAGATTTATTGGGACAAAGAGATCATCTGTATTTGTGTCTCCTGCAGAAGTTAAGACTGCGGCTGGCTATAGTGGGTGCTCAGTACAAAATTCTCGGCTGAAGCCCTTGACACCTTTAAAGACATCTTCCTGAATCTTTCATCTTTCACTATGAGAGTAATTTCTTTCTTTCACACATACACTGCGTTCTGTTGTACTGTTAGGTGACTGCATCATGTATGGGTTTTGTAGGGTGGTTTTAATTTTCTTCAATACATTGTAATCTCATTGTGCATAATGACTGTCTACAACTTAGGTAGCAAACATAGGGACCTTCTGTGACTCTATATTCTCCCTGGCAAGTGTCATTAAGCATTTTTCTCTCCCAGTGAATAGAAACAGGTTAAAGCACCTGCGCTGGAGGCATCTATCTTCCACTTCAGTGCTGTTACTTTTTCGCCTGGCTATGGCTGTAGAAGGCTCTGTGGTCCTGCCTAGAGGCAGGAAATGGTTTCTTCATGTATCCTTATCAGCAGTTTAATCCTTTAATCATTATTGGGAGTGAAGATCATAGATTGACAGAAAAAGTAAAAAAAAAAAAAAAGCATTTATTTATATCCTATATTGTTTTAGGGTGGTGAGTTTCATGCTCTCTTGGGATCGCATTCAGTTGTAAGAACAATTAGATAAAGAGATTCTGCATCTCATCACAGCCTCCACCTACACACGCACACACACAGGCTGACCCTTCAGTACACAGAAATACAATCTCTAGCCATGAGCGTGACATATATGCATTCAAAAAATCTCACTAATACACCTTGATACACTCTCATTGTTGAGAATAATTATACCTTTCATATGGTGTCTTATTTAATATTAAAATAACCTTATGGGGAAAGCAGTCCTACACCCACTTTATGGATGAGCAAATTAAGGCTGAGAGGAGCTAAATACCTTGCTCAAGGTCACAATGCTAGTATCTGCCAGACAGCCAGAATTTGAATCAAAGTCAGCAGGATTCCAAGTCTATTTTTTCTATATATATACATATATATATATATATATTGCTGTCACAAAAATCTGGTGCCACTAAAAACACTTCTTCAAGTCACATTCCTCTAGTCAATGGAGAAGATGGCTTTTGGCCAGGGTGGGTTTATGATTCAGGGACTCAGGAAGAAAGAGAGGTACATACAATTGGGTCATTGGAGAGAATTTAATATTGACAGTTTACAGCAGGGAAAGCGGGGTGGAAGACAGTTAAAGTAGGCATGGGTAGTGCCTGCAGGCTACATGTGGTGAGCCTCAGTTTATTGGAATCTGGAGAGAGGGGTGTCGGAAGAGTGAGGGAGGAAAGGGAACGAAGAGGGGGATGGAGGGAGCTGTCTGAAAGGGACGGTGACCCCTAAGCTTCACCCCCACTCTCCCTGAGTGCAAAGAAAAATTCCACAGCTGAACACACACACACACATACACACACAATGGACTTTAAAAAGAAAAAACATCTAATATTGAAAACACTTCCAAAATGCATCAGTGCACTTTCTTACTAAACAATTATAGGCATCAGCATTTGTTCTATTTTACTGTGTTGCAGACAAAGGAGAGTTGAAATATTGGTTATGACTTTCCCTCACATAAGGACATACACTTTACATTTTCCATTGTTTTCTTTAGGGGTGGGAGGTCAGGCTGAGGGACTCTTACATTTCAGGTCTGCCATTCTATCAGTTTCCTCAAATGGATACAACTGTGTAACTGACACTACAATCAACACGTAAAATATTTCCATTATTCCAAAAAGCTGTAAGCTATTTAAAATCATTAATCACACTAAAGTAAATATTTGGTATCAACTTTTGTTTCTTCTGATTTTAAACAGGAACAAAAATATTTTTGGTGGTTGGTTATGTCACCCTTCTGGATGCTGTAACTACTCCTGGTGGTTATTAACTGATTTCACATACATTAGACAGAGCCCTGGCTCCCTTTTTGGCTGCCTAGTGAAATCATTTGGCTCTATTAAATGGCCTGATGCTGGGAGGCAGACGATTAAATCAGGATGTCTGAGGTTGCTTCCCTGGTATCGATAACCTTAGGCTTTCTAGGTGATTCCAGTAGGCAGCCACGGTTGAGACTCTCAGACTTAGACCAGTTCTCAACTCTGGCTAGAAAGTAGAATCCCCTGGGGCATTTGCTTAAAAATTGTGTAAAAATACTAATGCATTCCCCCCACTTCTCTTTTATACAACTTATTCATAACAGGTGACTGTGAAGAAAAAATAAAATTTAGATAACCTAGACCTCTGAATGATTGAGCTCCACTTAAGCAAAATTAATTTATGGCTCTGGTGTGTGGTCGTGTTCTATAAATGTTAAATGGAAGTCCTAAGCCCACAGTGGAATCCAAGAGAGTAAAATATTCTCCTTCTTGGAAATAAACTGTATATTTGAAATAATTGTCTGGGGAAACTATCACTTTCTGAAAATTGTCTTCCTGGGTAATTTACCTCAAATGTCAAGCCTTGTATTTTAAGAGAATACTATATTTTAACTACATTTCCACACTATAATAATAGGCTCATCTGTGTCTCGTACTGCTTTCATAATTTTTTCCAAGAAAGTAGACAGGAAATAAGATTAAGAGACTAAGGATAAGATTTAAACCAGCTTCCACTGAGAAGGATAAATTATGCTATTGCAGCTCTAGGCCAGGAGAACTCTGCTATTTTAAAAAAGAGCAATGGTACTTTTTTTTACAATGGCAAAATATATACAGAAAGGACACCTAGGGAAGTGGCTAGAACATACATGGGCTAAGTGTCCAATGAAACAGAGGACTAGCAGAACATTGACACATATATTATTCAGATTTCAGGAGCTAGTACTAAAATAACAAAATTCTCCTTGATGGTATAAAGCTATTGATGTCCTATTATGGCCAACATTCTCATTAAGCAAACCTCTTGAACTTTATTGTTATAAATAATTAATCACCCTGGTGCGTGTTGCAATGTATTCTAAAGGGCTCAGATATTGTATTTAACTCCTCAAACCTCAAACATGGATGCAACAACAGCGTGTTTGTTAAAATTAATATTCTTAGTTTAAAATAGAGGAGTTAAAATTTATTTCACTCCACCTTCCCATTTCTTATGCTCCACTCCTCTTCTCTTCTCTTTTTCAGGACCATCTCAGAAAATAGTGTCACCTAAACAAGAACAGGAGGACAGGAAACAGGACAAAGTCACAGATAAAGGAAGCGAGAGTGGGACTTCCTGTAACGAGCTGTCCACCTCCAGCTGTGACAGCCACTCTGAGGCCAGCACTCCCCAGGACAACCCGCCCAGCGCCCAGCAGGCGGCAGCTCACCAACCCAACACCTTGACCTTGGATCGCCCCTCCAAAAAGGCCCCTGTGCAGTGGATGCCCCCGCCGGACAAACGCAGAAACAGTGAACTCTTTCAGACACTCATCAGCAAGTCCCGGGAAACAAACCTTTCCAAAAAGAAAGTCTGCGAGAAGCTAAGTGTGGAAGAAGAAATGAAAAAGTGTATTCAGGATTTTAAAAAAATCCACATTCCAGATTATTTTCCAGAGCGCAAACGCCAGTGGCAGTCTGAACTGCTGCAGAAATACGGGTTATAGTGACGGTCCCACCCTGCAGTGCCCAGGACGGTCCGTGTTTACTGCAGCGCCGCCACCTGGCGGATGGCCCAACCATGGTCAGTTGTGATTCTTGCCGCCACCTGGCTGATGGCCCAACAAGGGTCACTTGTGATTCTTGCTGCTCTTCCTTTCTGTGAATAGTGGATGTGGGACAATATTTTCTTTCATTTTTTTTTTTTGTTTTTAGAAACATGATTTTTAAAAAGGGGGGGAATAAAATCAGTAAATGTGAAATGAAAGTGGCCTGACTCAAACCATTTTGCAAGGATGAAAGTGGAATGTGCATGATCAAGAAACTTAGAATCTTGGTTTTTGAACTGTGATCAACTGGACCTGGTTTTCATGTATCAACTCACCAAAAACAAACCATCCTGTCACGCCAACGAAAATGACAATGTGGATGAAGGAACATCAAGTCAACTTGTAGGGGATGGTTTTAGGATCCAAATCTGAAACTGTCTAAATGTTAATGTAATAAAACAACTATTATTTTTGCATGAGTACAATGTTACCAATAACTCACAAGAAATAGGGAAGATCTGTTTGTTGCTTGGAAAGAAAAAAAAAATACAAAAAATAAACCAAAAAAAAAAAAAGTTTTAGGCAAAGCCTACAAATGTAAGCTGTCTAGGAGACTGACTTTTTTTTTGTTCTGGATCCATGATTTTTCTGTACCTGTGTATGGTGATGATGTATGTTAAGATGGTGTAAATATGCCTTATGCTATTGTGTGATAGCACCAACATTCACCTATTAATCCTAGCTATGATTATTTCTGCAAAATGAGTCTTTTACATCAGGCTGTGAAGATTGGATAATGACGCTCTCAAAGATCCTATTATCATGTTAATCAAAATCATTGAGGGGAATGGTAAAGAGCTTTATGTATTTATTAAAAAAATGGAAATGTATTTGAATTCCTTGATTTCCATGGACTCTTCTTTAAAAATGTTCAACTGTTAAATTGTCTTCAGTGATTTTTTTCAGACTTAATGTCGACAAGTTTAAACATAATTCAAAACAGAGACAGAGTCAGGTCCAGATAGCCTTGCTATGGATTAATAAACCCTTAGCCCACAAGAGAAAACGACTTCATCTGGGAATACACTAAAATTTTATTTTGGCTGACAACCAGATTGAAAGCCTTTCCAAGAACAATTGGGAAGTGACCTCTTACAAATCAAGACATAAAAATGTCTACTACAACCTAAAAGGTCAACCTTTATAAAAAGAGATTTCTTCCTGGTCGTATATGTGGGGAAGAAGCTTTCCTATATCATAAGCCACACAATTTTGTCTCACCATCTCCACAGAAAGAAATATATCATTATTGTTTTCTAAGGGATAGGCTGAGAGAGGGTAAAAATATTTTCAAGCGTTATAAAATTCAGTCTGCTCTGTGGCTAGTTGCAACGGAAGTTGGGTAGCATCCGTGGGATTTTTTAGTTTTTCATATAATAGGAAAAGATAGGCAACATCAGCTTAAAATTTTAAAAAA